CGCAATTAGTTGTGGGGGGCTGGCCCTTCACCCACAAAGCTCAGAATTATTACAACTACCTAAGTTTAAAATATAGTACAGAACTCTTTCTCTTAGCCATGAAAGTTGTTGAGTACCATTACATATTTCCTTATAAATAGTTCATAATCAAAATGTGGTTAATATATGAAAGTTCAAAATTGAATTCTAAAACATAAGTAATTTCTCACTAAGACCCCTGAATCCTAAAATAAGGAAAATAAACATAAATGTTGCTTAGTTTCTTTACGCTTCAGGATGTCTACAAACTGTGTAACAAAACTAAATAGTTTTCTGTAAGTTTAAATTTTTTTATCTTTTAAAAAAATCAAACAAAAGCATGGAATAATCACTTTTTTTTTTTCAGGGAAATTTTCCATTATCTTTTTTTTTAACTTAGTATTGTGTATTGTGTGAGTTTACAGAGCACATTATCAGTTTTACATTCAACAATCCATATACATGTTTCATCTCCTTCATTGCAATCCCCTCAATATAACACCATTTATCCACTTCCTCCCTATGCTTCCAGTTTCCACTCCACCCCCTGTATAACCCTTCTAAATATTGTCCATGGATAAATGTTGCTCTTCTGATCCCAAACGGTTGATGATTCTTAGGTGTGCATACCTCCTTAGTGTATTGTCCTGCTTATAGACATATCTATTGTTTTGGTTGACAATTGAGCTCAGTTCCAGACCTGAAGGGAGACCAAGGACCAGGTTCTCCACTTCCACCAGTCTCTATCCAATTGAAAATCCAGGTTAATTTTTACTAGAATAATCACTATTGGCAAATGGGTTGATAAGTTAAAAATCGACTCAATAGCACCCCACAACAATTTTAAAATCCTGTTTACTTTTATAATTAGCTAATCTTATCGAAAGATATAAGCTATTCTTTAAATCTTACCCAGTTCAGTTGATTTCTTCTGAAGCTCCATGGTTATTATTTTCAATTCTTCTTCATTTTTTCCCAATCTTGTAAAAATATTATAAAATATAAACAATCTATTCAGAATTCATCTAGTAACTAAAATTCATGTGATTTAATAATTGATATATCTTAGCACAGATTTGACTAATTAATTATTAAACAGGGTGATATTTTAAAATAAGATGTTACCATTATAAATATATAATTATATATTAATTAAATCCATATAAAACCTTAAAGCTTACAGTCATAATTTTCTCTTTTACCTATTGGTGATAATCTAATCAATGCATTCTAAAACTCTGAAAGACATTGAATAAGTAACTACTATTGCATTGAATTTTCCTTAAAAACAATATAAAGATGAGGGAGACTTCAAAAAGTTTATGAAAAACAGAACTAAAAGATAATGGAATCTCTCCACAAACTTTATAAAGCTCCTTCATATAAGAATTTATGCAATCCACTTATAATTTCTGTCTCCATGTATAAAACTGTGGTAATTTGGGAAAAGCACATATAAAGTTACTTATAACTTTAAATTTTGAAAATCACCAGGATCAATCAAGAATATATAGGATTGGGGAAAATAGTTTTTCTTACTTCACCATGCACAAGGAGTGGAGAATATTGCGAGACCCTGGTCATAATATCAAAAACTTGGTCTTCCTCCTTTCATGATTTAATTAGTACTGATTCAAGAAGAGCAAAAGTAAAACAAAGCTATTTTTATAAGCCTTAATAAAATATTTCTTTAGTATAAAGTAGTGAAAAACAAAGCAAGTCTTTACACTCAAAGTTTAGACAAACTGTTTATATGAAATGTGAATACATTTACTGATATATAGTTATAGACATTCGTCCATTCTTTCAATAAAGATATTAGAGTACCTAGTCTATAAGCTAAATTCAGAAATCAGAAAGTGGTTTACAGAATCCAGTAAACCAAATATCATAGCTTAGAAAATCATTTCCCTGAAGTTAGTACTAATCACTACCACCTATCTGTCTGCTTATCACTTACACTATTGTGACTTATGGGAGACAGGTTTCAGCGGAGCTTCCAGATGAAGACAGAACAGATAGGTCTGACAACTTACTTTCAAAAATTAGCCAATGCTAAATTAGTGATACAATCAATAGATTTACCACATACCCCATGAGGATAATCTCTAATATTCCCCAGTAAAATGATAATGATGTCTCAAGAGGGCCTAGGACATATATAAACCATAGCATCCAGGGTCTTAGAAACTTATTGTAAAACAAGTGGCCCTCTAAGTTAGGTGCCAGCTAAATTCACATGAAAGAAGTACATTAGCCTGTGTGATCCAAAGACTGTAATTAATAGAAACTAAGACCAGAAGAGGTAATTGTAGTAGAGCTTAAATCCTGAGCATCCAGTTTGCAAAAGGCTATGAATGGCAGTTAAAGTCTAAAATCCATTTGCAGGGTCCCCACATGGATTAAGCATCTGGAGAATCCCCTCTGACCATTGACCAGGAATGTGAATAGCCTGGCTATTAGACAG